ACGGCGAAACTTTGTAAAACGATAAGAGTAAAAACACACGATAGCAGGATTAAGGGTCATTTAAATGGGTGGGGGGTTTTCATCACCCCTCACATCTCTCTCTCTCTCTGGGCTACCCCTGTGTTAAGCGACCCTCAGGCTCAGGTAGCGCCGGACCAGGCGCCTGCAACAACCCTTTCGGGGAGGGTTTAGGGTGTTTCAGAGTTTCTGGTGGTTCCAGCCTTGAATAAGGTGGAGGAGGATTTGCGTGGATGTGGTGGGGATTACGTGCCAGGGTGTGTCTCACTTCGGAACATACTTCCAACTACTATAGTATGATAGGGGATAGATGGGGATAAACAAGGGTTACATGGGGGGTACTGGAAAAGAGAGTGGAAACTGCTCTAGCAGAACGGGGGAGATGCGTGGGTGTTTATCTATTGCCTTCTCGTCTTTTTTGGTCAAGGGCAGCTACCGTTCTCGGTAAGTGCCGCAACCTTGGCACATTAATCTTAAACCCTATGCACCCATGTCATTTAAATTGTCTACATATGCATAGGTATACAAAGGGGCAGCGTTTAGAGACATCGAACATCAATTCTAAGGATGATCGCAGAGCAGGGGATGGGTGCTCGCACTTGAATTCTACCTTGTTCTTCCCCATTGAAAATCTAGTGATGAAGCTGCAAACCTCCATGCAATCTCTAGATTCTAGATGCTTATGGTATACTATATCACGAATTATGGTATACTATCCATCTCATTATTTATGGTATACTAATATTATATCCCTAATTATGGTATACAGCCCTGAACCTTGTTCTAATCATTTAGGTGCCGCATTGCTACGCTTGCATCTTGGAACCGGAGGCTAACCGCGACCTTTTCGGTACCTGTCAGTTCACGCAGGACTGGGTGTTTTGTTTTTCAGTTTTGTTTTCAAGGTCAGAGGGGACCCATCACCGTCAGTAATTTAGAGACAAAAGCATGACAAAAAGGGGTGAACCGTTTTGGATAACAACTTCAGTCCGCCACAGCAATAAAGCAACAACGTTGACGTGCTCACGTGGCACAACATGATTGACTGATATTGACTGGGTGAGGCATAATTGTGTGAACAACGGATAGGGATGGGATCTTGCTTCAACTGTCTTGGACACAATCCAGGCACCTATGCACTCCATGAACGCTTTCCTTTGCAAGCCAAGCCGTACCTGCAGATTCCATGCCAACGATGCTGTGAACCCTTCACTGTAAGTAAGTAGGTGCTCGACCATGTCCATGTTGTATAACTTGTCAGTCACCTGCGCATTTTAGCTTTCGGGGAGCTGGAGTGCTACTGCCCGATCGAATCGTCCCAAATCGTTGGGTGCGCAGTTTCATGGGTACAGTTGCCTTCGAGAGCTTACCCCAGAATGCCTTTCCTCGCTCAGAGTTTCCAAGCTTGAACGCAATCCTGAGGTCGGTCTACAGTCGAGCTTGACTCACGTACAGATACTTGATCCTTGTGCCATGCAAACCACATCCCCAATTCCGGACCCTAAAGCCCCCTAAACCCAAAAACCCTAAAGCCCAGCCGGTGAAGAGGAGCGGGCAGAGGACGGAAGGCGACGGAGGCTGGTAAAAAGAGCCACGATTGGAGATGGCCAGGCTGGGCTTGTGCCCTCCCGAGGGTTCCCCCTGAATTTTGCTCATTTGCGAATAATGAGGGCTAAGTATGGAACTGTATTAGGCCGGTAGTAGGGGAATCATAAGTGAGAGCATTTGTCTCACAATTACGGCGGTCCCTTTTGCAGGGGTTCTATTCTAGGGATGTTAGGAGGCTGTAGAGCGTGGAGTTTACGGGTTCTGACAACATGGGGCCCCCTGGTACATGTCACTGTGCCAAGGTTTGTGGCTCTTCCTGGCTGTTGACTTTGATCTTTTACGCTAAACCCTTAACATTGCTAATTAGGCCCTATGGAATCCCTTTGTTTTGGGTTTGGGGTCTAGGGCCCCGTGTGCAATCCCTTAGGAGGACCCTGCCCTGTAATAGTGGAAAAAGGAATATAAGAGGACCCGATTCTAATCACTTTTATTCATTATAGTCACTATCACTACTGGGTGGGGGTCCACCTAAGCAACCCCTTTTGTCTTAGAGCCTTGAATCCAATCCCTAGTCGCCAGGTATGTACACTTCATCCTAGCAACTCCTATTTCCTTGGAATCCTGTTTCAATGTTCAGTATAGTGTAGCCCCAAAGAAACTATTACAAATGTTATTCTTTATTATAGGTTGAGAGCGAGTACAGGAACGGGTATACAAGGTGGTGACAGTTTCTGGCCTACCCTAAACCCTGAACCCTAAACCCAAAAGCCTGTAAGACAGCGACCGGGAATCTCTTGGAAGGAAGGCCAAGAGGAAGACTTCGACGATACAGCCTCCTGGCAATCTTGGAGGCCGCCACCTTGCCAAAACCCCAACTAGGGTTAAGGGTCTAGGGTTTAGGGCACCTTTTGGGGGTCCCCATAATAAAGACAATAGTAAATAGTACCTTGGGGTCTATATTGGGCTCCCCCTGTCGGGAAACTACCATATGACTTAGGGCAGAAGCTGAAGTCTCCTTACGAATTCCTCCTTACGAATTACTTTTCAATTTCTTTAGTATACCCCTAAGGAATTTATTTAAAATGTTGCTTTTATTGTAGGTCTAAGGGGACTACAGCCTG